AATCAGACAGATTATTTTCTGGACTTATAAAGTAGGCACTACTGCAACAGCAAGAGCATTGTTATATTTTCAGCAAATAATCATGGTTAAAGCAGATCCCAAGATTACTGATAGGATTCAGAATATGTATCTCAAATACCTTTCACAATATGCAGCACAGCACCATTAGTGGTGATAGTTTTCATGTGAATACTGGGGTATTTTGGAAGCTTATTAGGGGATGCTTAATTAGAACAGCAATGGCTTCGTCCTTGAAAGGAAACTTGTCCCGCTCTATCAATTGTCTTCTACAATGTGTTGATGAAGGGGAGTGATTGGTTCTGTACAATGGTTGTGTTTCTTCTCAGTTAATTGTTAAGTGCCATGGGCACGGCTGTATGAACCGACTTCATGCTACAGAACATGCACTGGAAATCCTCTACAATGTGTGTGGGCTCCTTGTATGAAATGCCTCAGTGAAGGTGTTCCTCATAAGTGGAAAGTTTTGGGGTCATTGAACTAGATGAAGAGCCCACGAAGCGATACAGTTAGGAGCTTAGGAGCACACTTTTGTTTTCATGGTGACAAGCTCATATGCACCCATTTGGTGGTCACACAAATACATGCGATTCTTAATATCTGAATAGCCAAGGCTCACAGAAACTGCTGGTCCTTTCGGAATGCTGTGATTCAAATAAGCTTTATGCAATGTTATCTTTTCTCAAAGTCATTTCACGTCAGATAGTTAACTCCACAATGGCACTTCAATTTTCTACCGTACAATTTTCCTACAAGAATAGTGGCACCTTTATTTATAGAGTTAGAGATCTGCATTTGAGACCTTTGTATCTGCAGTTTGCCACTCAAACTGGAAGATGATAACCATCAATACAACAGCAACACCATGTGTCCAAATATGTGGACCTTTTATTAAAGTAACCCCTCTGCTCTGAATGGTATGTAACAACTCCACTTCTTTTGTAGACCAAGTTACAGCTGTGAAAACTCTTCATTGATAATAATATCACAAATCCAGCAGATATTTGCAAGATGTCTTAATAGCCTGCACACTTACGGTGCTTCGAGACAAGTTCAGCTTCTCATGCTATAAATACACATGTTTCTGTTGACACTGGTTGAACAGGTTGTAAAACAAGGCAAAATCTTTTAATATATATTGATCAGAAGCAAAGACCAAAACAAATATAAACAGTACAAGCCAAACAGCAATAATAGGTTATGTGAATTAGTCTGACAAGTGATGGCATGAGTAAATGCAACAGCTACTGTGCAATGGATCCATTGGTTGCCATCAAACAAAACAATTTATCTCAGTTTCTTCCACATCTTAAGTGTGAAGTTCAACATATATTGGGGACGTTATTCACCCAAGCATAGTGTCTAAATACAGTAACAATAAACACTTTAGAACAGGTTTATGAAATATAAATCCACAGAAAATTCTTATTTTAAAAAAATGCAACAAAAGGATTAATACAGAAATTCAAAGTGGTACATGATTAATTACAGATACTGTATCTATAACAATGGTTAACAATTAAAAATAAAGCATGGTGTTAGAAAATAATAGATTTATCAGTGTAGAACCATGTTTTGCAATCCTGATAGTACACAACAAGGGGATGCTTAATGCTATAAAAAGGGTTATGTCTTTAAAAGAATTAGACACTTCTGTACGTTATTCTATATTTATAATGATAAAATTAATGTTGTGCTTCTTAGAAAGTTGCAAAGCATTAGCTATAGTATGCGAAATACATTTATCAAAGAAGTCCATCCTTGTAAATAATCCATGAAGATATCAGTCTAGAAATTCCTAAAATTATCTGAATGTAATAAAATGCCTCTGTGGCCCAAAAGAGTTTTTTTTTTTTTTTGAGGGGAGTGCCATCTTTATGAAAGGTTTCTTACAGTTTGCAATGATGTGTGGTCACTCATCACAGACAAGCAGGGGAATGGGTACTTACATCACTATTATAATTTTTAAAAATATGAATTATAGCCTATGCCTCTGTATATGCAGTATAATGAAACATTCCATAGAACAATGAGGCCATTTTATGCCTATGCTCTTAAAGACTAATTGTATATTCAGCAAGTGAAGAAGCAGCAGAACATGGGGAAGTTGCTTTTTTAGAATTACAACTTCCATGACCACCAGGGGATTCTATGACCTATAGTCCAACAGGTTAATTCCCCCAAGCTGTGGGAAGAATCATGTTCTCCTTTGTGACTACTACATGTTGCAGGTCTAATGCCACTCACAGATCCTGGAGTGAGGGGTGGTTAAGTAATTCTTTATGTTATCCCATTTGTCTGAGCATTTGCCATAGACCTCACCAGATCACTGACATTTCAGATGTGCCTGATCAGATGGAAGTGCAGGATACTCTGAAATAACACAGTAGACCACTCTCTCCTGAGTTCAACTATAAGTTGCTTTCTGGTACCGTGTAACAGATTGGGCTCTTCACCTTGTCCCTTTACCAAATTCTCTCTCTCTCTCTCTCTCTCTCTCTCTCTCTCTCTCACACACACACACACACACACACACACACACACACACACACACACACACACACACCTGCTAAGATAACATAATCTTTGCAGAATTGTGGCTGAAGTACAGTATACATTTTTATTTAAAGCCATTGTTTTGTTCATGAGCTAATCACGCAACCACAATACACATAATTTCAACCAAATGCTGGGCATGTTTGTCAAGAATGAAATCCCTTTCTTTAGGATTTATTCACTAGTAATTATTCTTAGGATTGCAGCCTTGCTATTCAGTTCAATACATGTCTTTTCAGAGTAAGTCCATGTGTTTAATAGAGCTTAACTGTTATGTTCTCTCAAGTCAGAACCAACTGTTAGCAACCCTAACAGAGCTTTCACTCTTTTTAAAAGAGTGGTTTTACCCATTCCACATTTCCAAGGAGTTTCCAGGGTTCAGCAGAGATTCGAGCCCAGGCCTTCTGAGTCCTAGTCAGTTACACTATCCATTACACACCAGAGTATCCCTTAATGGAGTTTACTCCCACATAAATCAATTCAAAACCTTGAATCATCTGACACCACTGAGACATTGAACAAGGACAATATTCTCCAAATTGGTCCTTTCTTCATAGTTTATATTATGGTTCTTCCCATCAGTTACACCTAGAGTGGCCAATATTGAGAGATGATGGCATCTAAATTTCAAAACACATGGAACAACTGGGATGGGGAACATTATATTTCCAGCTCATATGGCAGTACAAAAATGTAAACTGGAAACTTTTTAAGAAAGTAACCCCATTTGCCTATAACATCTTGTACCAGGGAAAATTCTACAGTATTGCGATGAATTAGGGGCACTTTGGAAGACACACATGTAGTGACTAGGAGTTCCAATTTGTGTTCTTCAACACTACAGATAAATTCCTTGATGTTTTATAGTTTCCCCCATTTCTCAAGATCTTGTTATTCAATAACAGAGCAGCTGATTTAATTCTTTATATCATGAAGACATAACTGTTACATTATACAAATGTTAACTAAAGTGTTATTTCCAATTCATCTTTTTATTCTGCTTAAAAAAAAGCCTAAGAGTAATTTCATATTTCCATATTAATCATGTTTTGTGTACCACCTGAAAACATATTGTGCCGTAAAAGGGGAAAAAAGTGAAGCATGCTAATTTCAGACACATCAGTTCTCTTATATCCTGTGTCTATGATTAAATTAGTTTTATATGGAGTAAACCACAGGAATGTACAAACTGAGAAAAATACAAACAAATTGCGAAGTGCTTTATTAAAGCATGCCATGCAAGAAAGGCTTACAAAGATTTCTGCTTTTCGCATAGTAAAAAGATGGGCATCACAGGAACGATTTAGTTAAATGTAGAAAATGACTCAGGCAGCCTGAATGGTATTTTTTTTAGTGGCATAGAATTAATTTTGAATACAAAAATGCCAGCGAGTGGAACATAGGAAAAAGTGACAACTAAGATTCAAGAGATATGCTATAGTGCATAGCATGGATGGGTAAATGCAACTGGCTGAAGAAATGAACAACACTGATTTCATTAACCACTGCCGGCCACTGTTTACTTACAAAATTAGTGGTAATGTAGCAGCTGGATATTAAATGTTGACAAAATGAATGCAATGAGTTAGGTCTTCCATATTGCCACATCTGTTAACCACAACTCAAGTCATGTGACTTTTTCTTACGCTAACTAGATGATGCTTTGGTGTTGAACAATTTCCGAACATAGGCAAATGAATTGGGGTCATGCCAATGACACCCTGGGGAACTTTCTAGATCTAGGTTAGGACGATCAGAGCTTTTATACTGTCCAAGCCCTTGTCCTTTACAACTTTTAGAGATTACATGTTCTGCTAAGCTTAGCTCCACCCAGCTTCTAACTGGGCTGAATTGACAATACCACTGTCACATACTGGAACTTGAACATTTCAGACTTATATCTTGAGAAATGTGTACCTTTTTGTGATACATTTCCACTTGACCATCTTTCATTTCATTTACAGTAGGGAGGGAAGGGAGGTGGCCAGAAAAGTTGTCCATATAATATGGTAAACCCAAAACCATTTTTGTATAGCCAATCCCCCATGCTTTCCAGAACACCATGCTACCAAATTTTGGCTTCAAACTGGCACAATCCTTTTAAAATAAGGGGTGGGGGTGGGGAAGCAGCCACTTGCCTTAAAAATGTTGGTTTTTCTCAAACGTTGCTTACAAACTGTAAAAGATTGAATATAAGCATTTCTTGCAAATTTTAAAGAAACTTTACTGGTCTGGTGTCAAAATCTGTCCCAGCAGAGATGTATGTGTGAGAGTGTGTTCTACACACATTCATTTCTCAAACTGGCCCTGGGAATATTCAAAGTTTTCCATGCCTTGTGTATCGTGTAAAGCAGTGGTCCCCAACCTTGGGCCTCCAGATGTTCTTGGACTTCAGCTCCCAGAAATCCTGGCCAGCAGAGTTGGTGAAGGCTTCTGGGAGTTGTAGTTCAAGAACATCTGTAGGCCCAAGGTTGGGGACCACTGGTGTAAAGCACCCCCAAGAGGACAGTGTGGCTAAAAGGCTAATTTGCATATTCTATTTATATATTATTTTGTAAAGGTTGCTACAGTGGGCTTTCCTAAGTGAAAAATGGAGTTTTAAATTGAAAAAGCTCCCTTGCATCATCTAGTGGCCACAAATATATATTTTTAAAAGATGTAAATAATTTTGAGATGCTATGGAGGCCCCAGGGTTTGGAGAGCCATCTGAACACAGCAAAATTGTTTCTTGCTTCCTAGAAGGCACAAGGGCATTTTCTGAATGAAAAATATTCAACTTTAAAAACAGCTTTGGGGGCTGTGGGGCCCAAGGGTCAAAGGGCCACACAAACACCCCTAAAGGACTGCATGTAGTCTGCAGGCTGCATGGTACCCACCCTGACATAAAGGAGGAACCAGTTTAACATCTAGGAAACTTCATGACTGTCTACTAAAGGAGCATGATCCAATTGATTAACTTTGTTTCATTATGTAGGGATATAGTTGCACATTTGCTTGTTTATTCCAGATTCTTCCTGGAGAAGATAATGGGGAATCCATTAAATTAGATTTAGGATGAGCATACAAACAAACCAAACATAGAGCTGCTCTTTGCAGTTTTCAGGATTATTCAGACTGCAGTGGTCACTGGAAAAAACCCAAACCCTGTGTACACATGTATTCAAAGTTTATATATTATGTTAATCATATAGGAAAGAAGCAAGTTCAGACTGTATTCTATAGTCCAGTTGCACAGATGTGTCAAATTGTTTCAGCACCAGCAGATAACAACATAAATTTAACTTTAGAGTAGAGAAAACAGAATCGCTTGGGAATATTACTGTCACTTTGGTCTGTTGAAGGTCAGTGTATATATGAAGTGGTGTGCTATTGCCTAGTATGTCCGATGCCAGGGATGTCCTATGCTCACCTTCTCTACCATCTTTTCAAAGGTTTCTTTCCCTCAACAGAAGGCATTATTTTGCCAGCAGCAGGAGACACTCCGTAACCAAAAGGGATCTTTCTGGATGAGATCACCTTCAACTAGAAGAAGCGCCTTTGGTCCATGGAAGGAAAACCTTCCCTATCTATTTAGAACATGTTAGAAAGCAACAAATATTTCTGTTCTATTGTGATCAGAGTCTATAATTTAGAGCTGTTGGATTACTTGTGGAGAGGAACTGTTCAAAATCCATTGTTTGAATGGAAAGCAGTTTAGACAAAATCTTGTTGGTTGCTGTAGGTTTTTCGGGCTGTCTGGCTGTGCTCTTGAGGGGAGAACCCTAAGAACTGCCTGAAAAACCTACAACTATTGGATCCCAGCCATGAAACCTTTCGAGAAAATCCTGTTACTTAGCATAGAAAATCAGGCTACTGTAGGGCCACTAAATCAATGGGGATTTGGTGAGTCAACTGCCCTATTAGCTCTCTTCAAATGATCTTATTCTAATGGCAACTTTAAGTCACAATTAGATCCATTCGAATCAACAGAATTTATGGAGGAGTTGATAATTTATGGAGGAGCTCACCAAATCCCCATTGCTTCAATAAGCCTACTCAAGTGAGATTTACTACACTAAGCAACAAGATTCTGGGCATCATATGACACCAATGACAGTTGTTGTATCAGGACTACAAGGAGAGAAAGTGAACACCATAAAAACTGCAATACAATTATCTCTTTAACAGTTTTGTTTAACTTTGGACTAGCATGCTGCAGGATGACATGCTACATAAAATTCATTCAGGTCTTTAGTCTGGAAAATGAAAATATCCATCTCAGAACTTGCTGAGTTCTTCTGCAGAGATAACATTTATTATGCACATCAAAACGTTTTACGTCAGACAAGACAGACACTTTAAACAGCTCCTCTCCTCTTTTTCTTTTTCTTCTTCCTTTTGTTTTTGACAGGCATCACTCCTAAACTTGGAAATACTTTACAATAATTTACACTGTACATGTATAGAAGCCTCAGTTTAAAGACTGGTTTCAAGAGGAATGTTTCAATTGAGAGAGCCTTGAAATCCCCATCATTTTCTTCATATCTTGGCCAAGTTGAAGATTGAATGCCCTCTGTTTCAGGCATTTCAGAATAGTCACAGTGCTTTTTTCCTCCTTGATGGTTCAATGCCTGGTCATCCAGTCAGAGGATCAGAAATCCATATGGGAAAATATATCTCAGTGCTACTACACTGGAGCTTAATAGTTGACTCTTATTTAGGAATGTTCACAGCAGCGTGGGATTCTTTTCTTCTTTGATCAATTTCTTAAAATAGGATTCTTCATCAGAGGCTGAAAAGAGGAGGACTGTACTGAAGTATGATTTTTCCATTACCGTGTCTTTTTTTTTCCCCAAAGGAAAAAGATACATTTTAATAAGTCCCATGCAAAAAAGAATTATGCCATCAGGTTAGGCTTATACTCAGAAAGTCTGTACAGAATGTTAGTTCCTTTTTATCCTAGGATGATAATCCTTAACAGATAATTTGATAAAATGCAATTAGTGCACCACCGTATTATATTATATAAACAATACGATAGCTAATTGTGCATGAAATCCAGTCTCATGCTATCCACCTTGACTCAATTTCATTCCCTTGTCAATTTAAAAATCAGAAATTAAAAACAAAATCTAGTTAGGGAACACCGTATAAAACATTCCATAATTAAAACAAACCTTATCTAAAATAGTTTTGAGCGGGAAATGAATCCAAATTTTCTCTAATGAGATTCACACAAAGGGCAATCAGAGCAAGACAATTTTTTTAAAAAAACAGTCAGATAAAGGTCATCTCCTACTAGTCTACCTTGATGCATATCACACTTAAAGGGCATTACTGACTTTGAAAGAATTGAAAATGTGTTAGCTGTTGTAAGAGCGACAGCTTTTCTTGAAAGAAGCAATTCCAGTATCTCTAGATTCTTTTTTTAATTAGTGATTATTGTGATTTAATGAAGTAGTTACATTTTGTTACCCACTGCTTATTTCCAATCTCTTTTAAAGAGGATAATGAGACATACACTTTATTTTATGCATAGACACCAGTGTGCTTAGCATTGGCTAGACTGTGCCCCCTGTATTATGCTGAGTGACCCGTAGAGACTGAAAAAACACTAGCTATGGCATGCTGAATGGCAGATGCCAATTAGAAGGTATTTTTATGTTTACTAGCTGTATAGGGGAAAATAAATCAGCAGCTTTCTCTAAAATGGGCTAACTAGCTAGCTGCATTTCATATATTTGCAGTGACGATATGGAAACATCCATTTTTTTCCAGAATTACAATCTATAAGAAACGCTCCTTCATATCCTTAAAGCAGACAGTCTATTTCTCTTCTGCTTTAACAGAAAGCATGCCCCAAAGGAATAAAAGGTAAATTACATAAACCTTTTTTCCTCCTTATAAACTTTCAATTTTTGTTTTCATATCATGTTTTCTTTGTCACAAAAAATAGCAGGAAAATCTGAACAAAGTGAGAAATGAAAAAGTATTTCTGATAAACGACATGGGCTTGATTTTAAAGAAAATATTTCATGTAATTAGAAACAAAACACTTATATGTGTTTCATCCTTCTCTCCTTTGTTTATATTAGAATCTGCAAGTAAGCTCAATGACAATTATACTTAAATTCAAGTATACTTCAATCAGACAAACCTTAGCTTACAACCTGCAAATGCTAGGAAAAAAACTTACCATAATTGTAGTTACAATTACTGTTCTGTTCTCAAGACCTGACGTGTCATTTCCCATTGTAGGCTCATGCTGAATCAATACCAATTTATCCATATCGTTCCAGTAACCAATCTAAAACAAATGAATGCAAATGTTTAGTTTGTATGTTACCGAAAAGCTCGGTCACTGGGGCTGGTAGACATGTAGTTTTTATTTTTGTTAGAATCATTCTGTTACCTTATCTAATATAAAGCATATGTATCTTTAATTGAAAAGCCATATGAAAAACGCACTCATTGCACTAGCTACCTGAATTTACTATAATCGTAGTCCTTGACTGGATATCCCTTACTAGGATTATGTTTAGAGAAACTGCTCCCTTTTAGTATGAGAATTCTGGATAAATGCAACTGCCTTCCTGACTTTCAAGTCTCCACCCATTGCGTATGTTTATACCATCAAATCAGAACTGACATAGCAACCCTAACAGGAGTTTTACCAGGTAAGTGGTTTTACCATTTCCACTTCCTGAATGAATTGCCACGAGTACTTAATTGGACAACCTCAGCAGGAAAACAGGGAATTCCAAAGTGTTCTCCGTTTAAGACAGACTGGAAGATTAGGGTACCTCCTCAATTAATCCCCATGGATGTCTCTCAGAATCATAGTTATCGTGAGCCGGGTAGTCTTAATTTGCTCAAGAAGCCAAGAGTCCCTCTTCTGTTCATGCCAAAAACCATCTTGCTCATTTTGCTCTAAGATCATCTTGCAAACACAGAGAGATTTTGACCCTATGCTTTTTGGTATGATTCTACATCTGCCCTTTAGACCAATTGTGACTTAATGTGGAACAGACTTTCTGCTGTGTCCATTGCATGTTTCCAAGCAACTGATCAATCAGTTAGTGAAGCTCCTTGCATTGACACTTTGTCTAATATTCGAGCCCTAACTTAACAGTGAGATCTTCTTTCAAAGATATCCATGCTGAAGGGGGTTAGGGAAAAGCAGAAATCTGCTCTATCAGCAGGAACAGCTGGAACGCCCTCTTTAGTAGTTTGAACTCAGTATTCTACATCCCTCAATACATATCATGGATGACTTGATGTTATTTGTCCTATACGTACTTGATGTTGCCCATTAGTGGGCAAACATTATTTATTTATTAATTGTACTGTGATGCATTTGACATAAACAAAGAAAGACCTGACCCTGGAGATCTGCCAGCTGAGGCAGATCTCCCCAGCACTTCTCTGCCAGCTCAAAAGAAGGACCAGCTTGAAGAAGGACCAGAATCAAACTTCCTCCAACTCAATGACACAACTGTGCTGGTACACAGTGAGGACAAAGTGAGCACAGTCCTAAGTAATTGTCAGATGTTTAAATTCAAATAGCTTAAGCTCGCCATAAGCAATTCTGACAATTTAGAGTAGTGTTCTTAATGCCTTTCTCTTTCCTCTTGATCCTGTTCTAAATCCTTTTCTCTCTTATTGATAATCATAATCTTAGAACTAAGTCCATCCTGAACCTCTGCAACTTACTTTATGTTGTTCTTAGGCCTCTAAACTCCAGCATATCATTTCTCTAGCCCCTCCTTTTCCTTTTTGGTGAATCATAACTCCATGGCTTTGGTTTTTTTCCCTTGTTCTATCACTGTTATTAAGAACATCTCATTGTTATAAGGCTGCTGTACAATAATCCTTATTTCTTTGAATCTGGGTGCTGTGATAAAACTTGTATTGTTTACTTCCGTGTTTCATCAGTGTTTCAAGCTAGTTTTCTCAGAATATTAGTCTGTTGCAGTGCATTATTTAGTCTATGTATCCACACCTTGCAAAAGATCCAAACATCCCGTGTTTTTTGTGTACACCTGCAAGTTCACACACATCTGTGAGTAGTAAAATGGGATTAGTCATAGAAACAATAGAAACTGTTAGATTTTACGTGAGTGCAAGAGGTATCCTATAGACTGCTATAACATGAGGCACTGAGTTGATGCTAGTCACTTGCCCAGTGGTACTTACGATCACACAGCCAGCACATCTAATCTAGTTGATTAGCTGCGACTAACTGCAGAAACTTATATGATTACTCTTAACTATGTAAAACTCAAAGAGGATTTTGGCCATTATGTGCATAGATATGTATTTTACACAGTGTTATATGTTAAGATCAGATTGGTGAGGGATATGAGATGTTATAAAACGACTTACAAATTAGTTCCACTGTATTCAATGAAAGGCTTATTTTAGATCTGTAATTTTCAAACCTTTATAGGTTTGGACCTAACCTTCATTCAAACAGAGAACTTCTTCAATTTTTGTTGTATAAATTTGTGGTGGTAATCTTGTTGTTCTTGTGACTCTTCTTATGACAGGATGAGAGCTAGTTGTAAATTTTGCCTAACCCACCCGCCAAATGCAGATGAGTTTATACAGATTACTTACAAGAGATTACAGGGATAACAGAAGGAAGGAAGGAAGGAAGGAAGGAAGGAAGGAAGGAAGTGCTTATTAGACAAAATGTCTTCAGTCTAAGAGTGAGTTGTGATCTGTTCAAAGGAGCAGATTAACATAGAAACAACTACGGTAAATCATTAGAGTCTGACTCTTCCTTTCAATGAACTGAACTACTCCACATTGGTTGCACCAATGTTATACTTTTCACATGGACGGCTCTCCCAGAGAAAGCAGAGGGATAGAAAAGTACTTCTTTTTTTGCTGAACTATCCTGTATCTGTTACCCAGTTAAATAATTAGGATATTTTATAAATGCAATGTTCTAAAACTCCTGATGCTCCTTTTTGTTATTGCTGATGAAGAACAGCTCTCTTTTCCCATTTTTCAGCTTTTGAGATCAATACAGACACTTGAAAAATGTGTAACCATAGACAATAGTGGGCATGTTCATGCTTTGTCATTGCTGAGATGATTCCATTCCAATTCTCTCTCATTTTCTCCCTTCCACAAAGATCTGTACACATTTTGGTTCACATTGGAAGTACAGTAAGTCCTTCTCCATGCATTTTTCAAAGGTATGTATTTTTGGGTGCATGCATCCATTAACTAAATTGTGCTTGTGTGTGTTTTTAATATATACGTATCTTCTTTGCACATTAAAAAGTATGCGTACATTTCAGAACACTTTTGTTTTTTTTTGTTTTTTTCATATAATGCATCACATGCCTGTAAAACAATAGATTTCCAGGTACTCTCTTGTTTTGCACTCAGTTCCAGAAGGTTTGGATCTGATAAATCCAAGGAAACTAACAAAACAATTTGACAGAATGAATTCTAAATACACCCCTAATGACAGGTAATGATGCTATCTATACATCTTGAATGAACTGAACTGTTCATAGCTGTACAGTTAGAACATGTATGCTTTTCTTCAAAGTAATGAGCCAAGGATAAGGCTTTTAGGGGGGGCTAGCCAATTCTGTTAAGCCCTGGGGACAATGTTTGTTTCCCCAGCACGTATCCCCAGCTACACAGGTCTACCAAACAACTGTGTAAGAATTCGCAAACAGAAGTGATGGGTTCAAAATGTAATACAGTAACATAATTAATTACACAAACAGCTGTACATTCTAGAAATCTTCCTCCACAACAACATTCCCTTCAAGTGACAATTGAGCAAAATGGGTGAGCCAAATGTTTGATGGCATCTCCAAATGTTCTGATGAATGAGTAGATATGCATAGAAAAGGGATGTACTAAAGTGATACCGGGGAATTTCAATCATGACACACAAACCACAGAGAGCAAGAATACTTCCTTGCAAAAAAAATGGAAACCTATCACTTCAGTTGTTGTCACTTCTGTGATAATAACCTGTTTTTGATCAGAACATCGAGTCACAAATGAAGTACTGTGCCTTTGGGAATAACAAGCACCAAGTATCTGCAAGATGATGATGGCTGGCAGAAACCTCTCCACCTGGCAGCTATCTGCAGAATTTACAGGTCACTGAAAATGTCATGCCTTGTCTTCCCAAGAACCAGAGGGAAGTGTTCATGCTTAACAATCATATTGTGCCATCCTGCTAAATGACATGTTGTTCTTTAAGTACAAACCACCCAATAATATTTAAAAACATTATTACTGCTCAGTGTGGAAGTACAAACCAGTGGAGGTGGGTGAGGAAATGGCATGAAACTACTTCTTAGCAGAACTTTTTAAGATTTAGGAGATTATATTTTATGAACCAGCAAACTGGAAAAGACTGTATGGAAAAGGATATAGCTATATGTTTCCATATACCATGGAATTTGTTACCTAGGAAAGGTGTTTATCATTCCCAGATATGCAAAATAATCAATAAGCTACACATGCATCAACAATTTAGTACCCCAAACTATGATATACCTTTCGAGGGCCAGTGGTCTTTAGTTCAAACACATCCATAGAATAGTTGACTCTGCGGCCATAGTGGTCAAACTGAACATTTCCTGTCAGTCCTTGTATTCGAACCTTTAAAATGGGAAATAAAATCAAAGCATTGATGACTGATGAAGAATTGCTTCACTGTAAATTCCTATCCAGAAAAGAAGCTTTATAAACAGGGAAGCCCATCAAGATATATATATATATTTAGTTGATTATTCGTCAGAATTTTAACAAATTCATTGAATTGAATTTCAAGTTACAAACGCTTCAACACAGTTTTTTTTCCCTTTTGAGATTCTGAAGGAATAATAAAATAAAATCATAAAAAAATATAAATCATCATATTTATATTGGTCATTCATCTTTAATATTAAAATATTCTCGCAATATTCCTTGATTCTTTTCCATCCCTGAATTCCTAAATTCTGAGGCAGTTAGTGTTTTTACAGAACTTCATTTAGTGGACCAACTACAACCTTCCATGAGAAATCCATGTAATCCATGTCTTCATTAAATCTTATCTACCTGCAGCATCCTCTACATGGCACTATCCTTGAAGATGCTCTGGTGAAGCCATGTGTAGCAGCCAAGCTGCTTAATGATGGGAATGGGATGTTCAGATTTCTTGCACTAGAAATCCAATAATTCCCCATTTTGGGAATTGGCCTACATTCACCTTACAGACACCTAAATGATGCTCACCTGGGAGAAAAGGCCCAAACTGCAAAGCTTTGAGACTTAACTATACCTAGTTCTGCTTCCTGTTCCTGCATTGGTACCAGCAGGCAGCTTTGTTTCTAAACAGGAAGCTAGGCAGAGCTAAGCCACAAAGCCTTCAGTTTAGGCCTCGTCTGCAAGGTGAACCATATTTAGGTGTGTGTAAGTCCGGTAGAACTCCCAGAAAGGGAAATTATGGGAAATGTAGTCCAAGAAATCAAACAATCCCATTCCTATTAATCTGCACATGGTATTGAGATCACATGGTCATTGTACTAATGAGTGGCTGCCCAATTTAAGGTGCTTGTTTTAATCTTCAATATTATAAATGGCTTGAACCCTGGCCATTTTGAACCTATCAAAAAAACAACAACCAAACAACAACAACAAAAAACACAGGATGAAGGACACAGTAGAATGGGCTTTCTTCTGCTTTCCTCCCTTTTTGTGGAATGTATTTTCCTTAGAATTGTGATCAGGTTCTACTATCATTGCTTTATGAAAGGTGTAAAGATATATCTTTTATAATCAGCTTATGATGTTCTTTAGTTCATCAGCTACAGTTCTGTTGCTTAGTGTAGTAAATTATGCTATACTAGGCCCATTGGATCGACAAGGATTTGGTGAGTCAGTTCCTCTATAAATTCCATTCATTCAAATGGGTCTACTCAAACTGAAGATTAGCACACTAAGTCACAACTTGAGTAGGCCAATTCTGTAAGGTCCCTACTGTATGCCATCACCTCTGCTGGCCTCTAAGGCCCACTTGACTTAACTCTCCAGAATGTCTTGCTCAAGGTCAGCAACCACACTATCTGGGTTGTCTGGGACTTTCTCGTATAAGTGTCCTTTTGGCTTTGGCCCAACCACTTCATTAGCTCTGGAGCTACTTGTACTTATCCTCCGCTCTTCCTGAGTAGCATGTTGGACGCCTTCTGATCTGAGGGGCTCATCTTCCAGCGTCATATCTTTTAGGCTTTTGTTTCTGTTCATGGGTTATTCTTGGCAAAGATACTGGAGTGGCTTGCCAATTCCTGCTCCAGGGGGATCATATTTAGTCAGAACTGTCCCCTATGACCAGTCTTAGGTGTCCCTGCATGGCATAGCCCATAGCTTCTCAGAATTACTCAAGCCCCTTTGCCATGACAAGGCGGCAATCTGTGAAGGGGGTGAACCAATGAGAGCAGCCTATTTTCTTTATCTCTGAACTTTTTCTTTTAGGAATCCCTTTGTTCTTCTTGTTTTCAGATTCAGAAGTGGTTTACTATTCCCTTCCTATGGTGGTGCTCCAGGACTGTGCTGGTTGCCCAAGGCTACACAGGCTGGCTCTTCTCCCAGAAGGCACAGTGTGGAACTGAGCTCCTGACCCCAGGTATTCCAGTTCACAGATCTATCCAGTGCAGCACTAAACCCTTCCCTTTATCATACTTTAAATAAAGACACATATTATTACAGTGTTCTGTAGAATATTTAAAATAAGCTCAATGCTTAACAGCATTCTATGAGAGTAAGTGTGTACCTTTGAAATAAGGTTCTTTCTTTGCTCTGAATCCATTGTTAACCAAATCACCTTAAATTTAAAACATTTGTTCACAGGAAGAGAGCTGTTACCAATGGCTTCTTTTCAATGCCCTGTACACAAAGCATGCTAATTTGCAATTACAATTATTTTAAACTCTGATGTCATGCCACTGTTGCCTTCCTTCCTTCCTGCTACAATTGTCCTTCCTCCAGACAAGAAGCTAAATCATCTTGACAGAGACCTGGAACTCTGTAAGCCTGTGAATTCATAAAGCACACAGAGCTCTGACATCTGTGAAAAATACCTCTGTGTTATTTCTTTTTTAAATGAAATGAGGAGAGGAAAAGATGTAGGGATTTTTTTACTTTTGTGAGTTATATAGAGCCAGCAAATTTAAATATACTGTCAAGATGACAGAAACGCATTTGTCAAGCAATGTGGTAGAAAGATCAAATAACTCTTAGATAATCATTTTAAATTTCATTTTCTTTGATCAGCGTGATGTGGAATTAACACAGGGCTGCATGCCAAAAACTTATCTATAGTTAATCATTCATTCTTTCAGTTAAAATGTTGGAGAGAAAAACGAGGAAACTTCAAATCCTGTCAGAATATATTTGTAGGCAGGTAAAATGGCTTAGTGTCCAAATATTTGGATCTCATAAATCTCACTCCTAAATCTGGAGCTATGTTATTATGTTGAATGTATTTAAGATTAGGGTCCAACGACAACTGATGCCCCAACTACAAAATAATTATCTGACTATTCTCTTACATGTCATAAGGGCCTAATCTGCTTCCCATATTGCCATCCTTCAAAAATAAATAAATAAATAAATAAATAAATAAATAAATAAATAAATAAATAAATAAATAAATAAATAAATAAAGCAAATGCAAATGGCCTCGTGATCCATTCATAGCAGCCAAGTGCATGGTTGAGAAATACCTTTATTACATCACTACTGGATTTTAGTGATCTAATAAGAATATTTCCCCATTCGAAGTTTTGTTCCCACCATAGGAATGTTGATATTTCATCGTCACATGAGAACTACATTCATTTTTGTTGTTCTTCCTTCCCCCCCAAACAAGGTGATGCTAGAGAAATTACAAAAAGAGCAAAACAAAAAAAAAATCTTCCATACTACGGCTAATTTCTATATAAATAACCAAATAACTATTTTCTATACTGCAGTCTGTCTTAGTTGGTACACTAATCAGGACGAGTCCAATATTTGGATCTGTAGGAGATCCATATGGATTTGTGTCTCCAGGTCACCTCTTTTACCCTCAGATTTAAATATCTATAGGATAGACACAGATGGACATATATGATCAAGTGCTGTCACCTTTTCCTTCTACCACCACCTACAGAACCCACAAAGAGGCTTGTGTTTCCAAGCGACAAATGCAGCACCCATGGATGTGGGTTGTAGAGGATGGCCTTGTTCCTACTGATGGCGCTCCAGCTAATAATCATGCAGAACATCGTGCCCTGACTAATGTGTGATCTGGTGGACAGGGTGTTGCATTCAGCCCCAGCTTACTGTTGTAAGGATGAGTAAGATAAGAATTGGAAACAAATTAAATACACCATAGATTATGTAAATATAAAATAATTATATTAAATCAACAAGTGCTGGTCACTTCAAATGCTTATGATGTTTTGTGTCACATAGTTAAGAATAAGACTTCAGCCATACCTGTTTCAACGTTCTCTCCATGTCAATTCCTTGGCTCCAGGGTGCAGCCGGATTTGCAAGGCAATCTCCAGCATTTCCTCTTCGAGAAATATCAATCTTCTGCCTCCGAAGATTACGGAAAGTCTCAGCCATCACAAGCACCCCATCATAGGTCAGAGCGGAGGTATACTAATCAAATTGGAGGAAAAAATGTATCTGTCTTACACCTCAGTAGGAAGAATCTGATTCCTTGATGGACCAGGCTGAGTCTATCAAGGGATTTATCAAACAAGAATGATGAAGTTGCCATGTCCTTGATATGGCAAACAAGTTTAGTTGAAAAATGGCAGTAATCCATTAAGTAATCCAGATAATGGTTATGTTATTGAATGTTCATAATTACTTCTGTTTGATCTTTGTTTGAGTCCTAGCACAATTCACACATAAGCCCTAACCAAACAAAAAAAATAAAATGAAATAAAAATAAAAAAGTAGAAGTGATGGAGAGAATAACAGGCTACTAAGCACATTTAGAAACTAGAATAAAGACATTAAGTGGCTAAAACTGGTAGAAATCCTGCTGCTTAGTAAGTTGTAATACAGTAGGCCCACTGAATCAATGGCGATTTGGTGAGTCAGTTCCTTTATATGTTCAGCTGATTCAAATGGGCTTATTCAACTTCCATCATTTATGCATCTAGAGCAATGGTCCTCAACATGTTCTTGGACTTCAACTCCCAGAAATCCTGGCCAGCAGAGGTGGTAGTGAAGGCTTCTGGGAGTTGTAGTCCAAGAACATCTGGAGGCCCAAGGTTGGGGACCACTGATCTAGAGGATCCCCTGGAAGCACTGCAGCTTCCATAGTTTCTTGCACCACTGATAGAAAAGCAAAGAGGGGGGAAATGAGATGCAAAAGGAATTGTATTTGTTCTTCTCACTCACTTCTGCTAATCTACTCCTGCTTCAAGCCACAGTTTTACCTCACATTAGTCAAAATCCTCTTGCTTAGTACAGTAAATCATACGAAAGTAAGGTAAAGGTAATGGTTCCCCTTGACATTTAGTCCAGTCATGTCCGACTCTAGGGTGCAGTTCTCATCCCTGTCTCCTAGCTGTAGAGCCAGTGTTTGTCCGAAGACCGTTTCTGTAGTCATGTGGCCAGCGCGACTCAACACGGAATGCCGTTACCTTCCCACTGTGGTGGTACCTATTTATCTACTCGCATTTTAACATGCGTTCGAACTGCTAGGTTGGCAGGAGCTGGGATAAGCAACTGGAGCTCACTCCATTGCGTGGATTCGATCTTACAACTGCTGGTCTTAAGACCTTGCAGCACAGAGGCTTCTGCATTTTAACCTGCAGCGCCACCACGTCCCTCATACTAAAGTAGACCCATTGAATTAACAGGGGTTTAAGTAAGTCAATTCCTCCATAAATTCAAATGGACCAGCTGTAATGGTGAAGTAAGTTGCAACTAGGATAAGACCATACGAGTCAGGAGTTGATTCACCAAACCCCAGTGATTCAATGGGTCTACACTAGTGTGATTTATTACGCTAAGCAACAAGATCCTGGCCATTAACTCTGCGAAGCTGAAGCTAGATGAAGCTGTCATCTTTTGTTGTAAACAATGGTTCTAGTTTATTTTTTGTTATTTGCAATATTTCTTAAATGCACTTTATTCAAAGGATTTCAGGGCGATGTATAAAATTTCACCAATACTTTGGCTTTCAAGACTGTTTTGGCCTGTTATTGCTTAGTATGCTTTTTTGTTTTCATTCTATATTGTCTTTGCAGACATTTATATAATTATATTTCTCTTTTGAGGTTCTTAGATAGAAAACTAATATAGAAACATTCTTAATAAAATAATGATAACAGGAAAATAAAATAAAATAAATCAATAGGCGACTAGTATAAGGAGTGATAATGTTTGAAACAATAGAACTTCATAGTGTAAAGCAGCTACCTATGACAAAAATGTATACTTCCATTTCTGTCGAAACAACCGTTTTGGATATAATGCAGACACATACTTTAGGAGGAGTCTCTGATCCTGGGTATTCTCTCTGATCCAGTTTCTTCCACCGTTGCATCAGTTTTGCAACCATAGGTGTACTGAAGTCCACCAGCTGAAACCCGGTGACATTGGCTCCTCCATGCATAAACCTTTCCAAAGAAATGTCTTTGAATCCCTGTAAAAATCAAGTAATAAAATACTTTGTTTGACCTCTCATACTGCTAACAATTCTCAATGAATTTTACATGGTCGTACAAAATATTCTGTTTAATCTTCAGCCCTGCTGGGCAGGGCTCTGCTCTTGCGCATGCAACTACAACTCTTGTGCGTCACTCCATCTCCCATTGAGGTCTTTCACTATGATTGGAATGAGAGGGACTGGAAATACCCGCTGTGGGTACACAGAGGGGGAGGAACACTCTGCTGAAGTGGGGGTGTGGCACTTTGTCCTCACGCAGCCACACACGTTTCGGGGAACCTTGGTCCTACACAATGTTTTATGAGTGGATTTGCATAACAGGAGTCATAGAATCCTAGAATAATGGATTATTCCAACCCCCCGCTCAAGGATGGAATACATATCAAAGGATATCTGACAAATGGTTGTCCAATTTTCTCTTGAATGCCTCTAGTGTTGAAGCACTCACCACCTCTCTAGGTAACTGTTTCCATTGTCATACTGCTCTAACAGTTAGGAAGTTTTTTTTCTGATATTCAATCGAAATCGAAATCTGACTCCTTGTAACCTGAGCACATTGCTATGTGTCTTGTTGTAGTGGATGACAATTTTTCAAGTATTTGACGGGTGCTATCATATCTCCCCCCAGCTTTCTCTTCTCAAGGCTAAACATGCCCAGTTTTTTTCAATGTTTTCTCGTAGGGCTTGGTTTCCAGTCTTCTGATCATCCTTTTTGTCCTCTTCTAAACTTGATTCAGTTTATCGGCATCCTTCTTAAAGTGCAGTGTTCAGAACTGGACACAGTACTCCCAGTACTAACCAATGCTGAATAAAGGAGAGTTAAAACTTGACAGATTCTGGAGACTATACTTGCAGCCTAAAATATCATTTGCCTTTTTTGCAGCCAGATTGCACTACTGTCTTATATTCAACTTGTGATTGACAGTAATTCCTTCACATTCATAGTATTACAGAGTCAAGTAGGCCCTGTCTTTTTTCCCCCTGTCTTCCACCTTTTTTTTCTTATTAGAATTATTTATAGTTCTGCCTTTATAATTTCTTTTAAGAAACTCCCATTGATCTTGGACTCCTTTTTCTGTTAGGCTCTCCTGCTATGGGCTCTTTACTTGTCATTGTCCTGAATTTATTGAAATTGCCTTTTCCAAGCTCAAGTGTACTTGTGCGGCTATACTGTGCTTTTGTTTCTTTTGAAATCAAGGAATTAAGTAGAATATGGTTACTTTCCCCTAGTGTTTCCCTTACTGCCATTTCTTCCACCAATTCATCTCTATTAGTTAGAATCAAGTCAAGGGTATCCTTTAGTTTCTTCTTCCAAGTAAAAAATTATCAGGAGAAAATTATTAGCATTACCACTAAATTGTCTCTCTCTGAAATTCTTGCAATTTATTTTTCAAAGGTTTCATCTATATCTTCTCTTCAGTTTGGTGGTAGTAGTCTCCAATTATCACATACGTTTTGTTTCTCGTCTCAGTTATATAAACCAGATGTTCTCAAGGGAACAAGCAAGCTTGTCCTCCTGTATTTCTGTGCAGGAATACGTATTTTCGATATATATTGCAACTCCACCTCCACTTGCTGTATCAAGTCATGGTAGTCATTCCACCAAGTTACCGTTATCCTTATCAAATCATATTTATCCTCCTGAACTAGGATTTCCAGTTCTTCCTCTTTGTTTCGCATATTTCTTTTATTGGTATATAGACACTGGAGATTCTGTGATTGGTGGCTCTGCTTTCCTTCATACATTTTTATGAAGACTTTTATTGGGCCCCATGAGAGCTGCCCATAGTTTCCTTTTCCCTTTCTCCCCTACAGTCTCTCAAAACCATCCAGCTTTTTATAAATTTACCCACATCAACCTTTCTCATTTATAGCAAGCCAAGTTCACAAGTATTGCTGCGTGCCACATTCTAAAAACAGAACAAAAGCAGCAACCCTGCAGTCTGGTTGGGTCTGGATAGATCTTTTTTTCTCAGTAGAATTTTGGATGCAATCAACAATTTGGTACTCACCTAAAAGCATCTGCAGGAATACAGAGGTTGCAGTAATAAAGGGAGAAATCCACCCTTCCCCAACTCCAGTGACAGAAATAGTTCTTTTAGATCCAGCACACACTCAGTGTTCTGCAGTGCTAGTTACAGAGAGGCTAAACTATGGCAGTGTACCATAGCAGTTTTCCCAGTTCCAGATGAGAAGTGATATGTGCTCCAAATGAAGTTAAGCTGCATTCCGTATATTCCAGTTGAAAGATAACAGCTAGATACCCACTTCGCAGCCCTTTCCATTTCGTTTCAAGCTCTCTTTCTTCCTTAGTAAAAATAGCTGGATGAGGAACTGAATTTCCCCAGTGATTATTCTTGTGTAGTTGGAGTACTCCAAAAACACGGTATCTTTGTAACAGTAACTGGCATTTCTTTATACAGCATTAAGGAACTGAGTACAGTGGTACCTTGACTTGAGAACGTCCCCACATAAGAATGATTCGAGTTAAGAACAGCTCCGTTTGCAAAAAAGTTGCTTCGACTTGAGAACGGAGCCTCGACTTAAGAATCAAAAAAGGGGAAAAAAAACCTTTCCTGCCCTTTTTTTGACCTAAGTTCACCTTAGGTCAAAAGAAGAAAAAATAATAAAAAATTCGCCCGCTAGTGGTAGATATGGATTAACCGGCTTTGCATTAGTTCCTATGGGAACTAATGCTTCAACTTAAGAACAGTGCCTCAACTTAAGAACAAAACGCAGCAGATACAGATTAAATGGTTTTCAATGCATTCCTACGGGAAATGGTGCTTCGACTTAAGAATGTTTCGACTTAAGAAAGCAGTCCCAATATGGATCAAGTTCTTAAATTGAGGTACCACTGTATTTGCTTGTTGTCATGTCCGCTTGTTACAGCTGGATTGCTTTATTTTTCTGTGGGGGTAATTTTTAAGGTTGGAATAACAGTTTTAATAAAGTTAATTTTAGTTAATAATGAAGATATTTACACACTATCTTTCTGCCAGTGCACTCTACTGTACGGTATATGATTTGCCAATTCAAAATAACAGTATACCATCTAAAAATGGTGACTCATAGGAATCAAGTGATGGGGAAGGAAAATGAACACACTGAGTTACAAACTATCAGATAATTTTTATTCTCAAAGGCCAGGAGCCTGCAAAGAAGGTTAATGAACTGTATCCAGCCACAACAACTGGTGATCACTGCGCACAATAGACTAGCTAATGGCAGCCATCAATCACAGTGACAGATCATCTCCCCCTTATCACAACAATAAACCGATAATAAATAAATAAATAAATAACACGCTGATCACCATAATCGCCCAATCATCTGAAAAAGGACAAAAAGCTGATCCCACAGCTACAAATACTCAGCTATCCCACACACTACACCAGAACAAGACAGAGTTCTAGCTTCTGTCCTCTGAAGATGCCGGCCACAGAGACTGGCGAAAGGTTAGTAAGGAAAACCTCCAGAACACAGCCAAACAGCCCAAAAAACCTACAACAACTGTCAAATAATTCCTAAAGAGAAGAGGAAGCACCACATGGAAGAAAGTTCTAACTGAACTTTTCACAGAGCCTATAGTTTCCTCCTCATTTGTGCTTACGGTGATTGAATGCTAACTGAAGCCATTCTGGAAGACAAGAAGGCAAATGGTTGCAATCAAGCCAGAGAGGAGAGATTGATTTATTCAGTCAGATGCAGCCAATTACTGCAAATCCATGAAGCTACCCACAAGATTCCCTGACCTCCATCACAACGAACTGTCTCACTCTTATAGATGGCACCATGTTGATCTGATAGGGCCATGGAGAATGTCACTAGCTCAGCATGCAGTTAACTGTAAAACAAGGTACTTACCAGGTTTGCAAGAATATAATGATAGCCTTTAACATGTTTGCCAACACTTACAATCTGTAGGAAGAGGAAAATAAAGGTCTTGTATTACTTTAAGCACTGTAACTTATGAGATATTATTTTAGTATGTATTACTATTTCAATCTTTATCCACATAAAAAGTCATCTAATAATTTTGATACAGAGGTGTAGGAAAATGCAGCTAACTCAGGTTGTTCTAGTTTTTATCAAACTGCTGTGACATTGCCATGGTTTGTGAGCCAGAGGGTCACTCTGTTTGGTAGGGAACAGACTTCTAGAGTGTACGGTATATGTAAAATACTTCTAGAGTGTATATTGTAAAATGCACTTCTGCATACACATATACTATATACATACTTTCAGATTCATAGACTAAAGATGTTATAGAAAGGCACAGTACACATATACAATGCCAGAAGAAATATCAATAACCTCAGATATGCAGATGATAACACTCTGATGGCAGAATGTGAGGAGAAATTAAAGAACCTCTTAATGAGGGTGAAAGAGGAGAGTGCCAAAATGGTCTGAAGCTCAACATCAAAAAAACTAAGATCACCTTCCGGCAAATAAAAGGGGAAGATACGGACGCAGTGACAGATTTTACTTTCTTGGGCTCCATGATCACTGCAGATAATGAAAGCAGCCACAAAATTAAAAGACTCCTGCTTCTTGGGAGGAAAGCGATGACAAACCATAGCATCTTAAAAAGCAGAGACATCACCTTGCCAACAAAGGTCCGCATAGTCAAAGCTATAGTTTTTGCAGTAGTGATGTATGGAAGTGAGGTCTGGACCATAAAGAAGGCTGACCACCGAAGAATTGATGCTTTTGAATTGTTGTGCTGGAGGAGACTCTTGAGAGGGTCCTGGACTGCAAGCAGAACAAACCTATTTGTTTTGAAGAAAATCAACCCTGAGTGCTCACTGGAAGGACAGATCCTGAAGCTGAGGCTCCAATACTTTGGCCATCTCATGAGAAGACTCTCTGGAACAGATCCTGATGTTGGGAAAATGTGAAGGCAAGAGGAGAAGGGGACGTCAGAGGATGAGATGGTTGGACAGTGTCATCGAAGCTACAAACGTGAATTTGTCCAGGTAGTGGAAGACAGGAGGGCCTAGCATGCTCTGGTCCATGGGGTCACAAGGAGTTGGACACAACTTAACGACTAAGCAACAATAACAACACAGATAAAAGGGATTGAATTGGTAATCTGTAGCTCCAGTGGACTGAACTAGATCCAATATACGCAGATCAATGGAAATGACACAGACAAACATTTGGGCTAAACAAAACCTCCTTTTGTAATTTCCCAATGTTGAGACAACAGAAACAAAGAAATTGTTTAATATCAAGAACTCTTGACAATGTAACAGCTCTTCAGGGACTGGTGCATTTTCTTTCAGTTACGGCGTTTAAGGTGAAACTGGATGGCCATCTGACAAGAACAATAATGCTTCATCCTATAATGAAAGTCCTGCATTCAGCATAGACTTGTATTAATTAGATTGCCGCCAAATTCCTTGCCAAATATCAGGATGTTATTTCCAGACAAAGAGGCCAGTGGAACCAGTGGGAGCTGGGTAAGTCCACACTCATTTAAGGGCCCATCTACATTTCTCAAAAAAACGCTAAAAGAAAATTTATTTTATTTTATTTATACTCCGCCTATCTGGTCATTGCGACCACTCTAGGCGGCTTCCAGGCAATATAAAAAACATATACATATACCAAAATAAGAAAAGTAAAACAATATACAATAAACAATAAACAGTAGACAAATTCTTCAAGATGGGAAAGTAACAAAGAATAAGTGAAGAAAAAAGAAATTAAGTACAGTGGTGCCTCGCACAACGGGCGCCTCGTAGAGCGATGAATTCGCTCTACGAGGCCGTTTTTGCGATCGCAAATGCGATCGCAAAACGATGCCCGTATAGGCTGTGATTCACAGAGCGAAGGTCGGTAAGCTGCTCGCTTACCGACCTTCGCTTTGCGAAGTTATCCAAGTAATGGTCTGCATCACCCTAAACCCCACGCACCCCGTGAGGTTAACAGACCGTGGCGAGGTAGCACCATACTGGCTGGGGGCTGCCCAGCTTAAGGCGGGCGGTATTTACCTAGTGAGGGGCAATGACCTCTCCCACCGTCAGAAGTAGCCCCTGGTGTCCTGCTCTACGCCAATTGAGCAGAGACTTATAACCGGTAACTGCTACTTCCCATGTTGTTTCGACGCTGTATGCGAAGCTGGAGTGTCCTCTCCAGAGCACAAAGCCTGGGTAAAAGAATATGGAGGATAGGCTGTTACCCAAGCAGCAAGTCCCCCCTCTCCACGTCGCTGAAATAGTCCAGTGGAGAGGCAAGAGCCAATACAACTGGTTCCAGCAACGTCGCAGGAGTTGGCAGAACGACACGAACTGCCTCCAGGACTCTGGAGACTTAATCCAGTAGAGATTAAGTCAGTAAGAATCAGAGAGAGTAACAGAGTGTGGAGTTTGTGAAATTCTGAGGTGTGATTAGTTCCTGAAGATATTCATGAATCAATCTCTGTAATCAATAAACCAAAGTTTTATTTAAAAGAACTTGAAGAGTGGACCTGAATCTTTCTGAGGTAATGGTTCACCCAGCTGGTTCACTGCCGTTGCTGCTGGACCTTTTGCCCTGATTTTCCTTAATTTTTTCCCCCCAAGACATTTCCACTGCTCCCTCCTCACGAAGGAGGCCTGAAATTCCCGGGAGACGTTAATGTGTCTCCATTTGGAAATGTTTTGGGAAGGAGGTGCCTCTCTCTAACTTCTTGAAAAGCGTGAAAATAAAGTTTCCACAGATGGGAGACCCAAATGGGACATGAACAGACCTCCCTACGGCTTCTGCCCAGTTCTGGCTTGTTTTGGAAAGCTTGAACCCATTTTAGAAATGCATCTGTTAAGAGACTTGGGTTTCATTCTACATTCAAAGGGATCTGGCTCGGGTGTGTGACAAGAAACAAAGAGCCACTGGCAGTCCTTTGGACAACCTTTCGGGGAGGGGGGAGTTGATAAAAGTCCAGCTGTGATTCCCCAGATGCAAAAAGCATTAGGGATGAGGCCTGGTTTGATCTGGACCTGACATGAGGCCAGGGTTGGTTAAAAAAAAACAAACCCAACAGAGAAAGCCCTCCCGTGTTTCTCCACATCCTCTGGTGGTCTTAGAGGTCGGGCAAAGAAGGATGAGCAAAAAGCAGCCCATTTGTGTAGGGAACTCGGGTGCCCCTGTGGGCCTTAAGGCCCAAGCCTCCTAAAAAAGGGAAAAGACAACAGAACAGTGTTTGAAAAAGTGTGATTCTCTGACCCAAAATGCTTCTGGCCAGGAAAGTGTGAAAATAAAGCTTTCCTTCCCTGGTTTTAGAAACAGCAATTGCATGCAAAGATTTAAGTGATTTATATTCCTGCATTGAGCAGGGGGTTGGACATGATGGCCTTGTAGGCCCCTTCCAACTTCAGTTTTCTATGATTCTGTGAAATACAGTAGATCCCCCTTGAGGCCCAACCTTCCAAAGATTTAAGCATGCAATTTAAGATTAAGAAATTTGTTTATTTCCAGAACCATAAATTAAGTTTACCTGAGGGACTGATTATTCTTTATGAAGATAAAGAATATCAGGAAAAACATCCTAACTGTTAGAGCTGTATGACAGTGGAACCAGTGACTTAGATTTTAAGATATTCCTAGCTAAGGGTTAGGATCTGTGGTAAGAAGTGGTTATCAGTTAGAGTCTTGGTGAAGACTTAGTTTGGGGGCTTCTGGACCAAGATATGGGGAATCCTAAGAGAAGGAAAATGCCTACTCAAGACTGTGGCATCCACCCTCGTGCCACTTTTGCTTGACATTCAAGCCTCAGAGCACACGAAGGCAAACACTCTCCTCTTTAACACTCCTGCCACCAGGTGATCCCTAAATCAAGGGCCCATCTACATTTCTCAAAAAAACGCTAAAAAAAAAATTATTTATTTTATTTTATTTATACTCCGCCTATCTGGTCATTGTGACCACTCTAGGCGGCTTCCAGGTCGCACTACGGTGAGTATTCTATGGCATTGGAATGCATTAAATAGCGTTTAATGCGTTCCAATGCCTTTTGGTGTTCCGTAGTGCGATGTTTCCCACAGCGAAGGTTAATCCGGAACGGATTAACCTCGCTGTGCGGGGCACCACTGTATTGACTGAAGGAAAGTCCTGCTTAAACATCCAGGTTTTTAGTTGCGTCTTAAAAATGCCCAGCTATGGGGCCGCATAAACCTCTGGAGGGAAGTTGTTCCAGAGGTGAGAGGCCACTGCCGAGAAGCCCCGATTTCTTGTTTTTTTCCTTTTGGGCCTCCCCGGCGTCAGGCCCCTCAGCCTCACCTCCTGACTCGATTGAGTGATACGGGTAGATCTTGGTTGGAGTAGGCATTCCGTCAAATATCGAGGTCCTAAACCGTTTAGGGCTTTATACGTAAGAATCAACACTCTGAAGTTGATGCAGAACCGAATGGGCAGCCAATGCAATGCGGCCAGAGTGGGAGAGATATGTTGATATTTTCTCACTCCACTAAGGAATCTGGCCGCCACATTCTGCACCACTTGGAACTTCCGCATCAACCTCAAAGGTAGCCCCACGTAGAGCGCATTACAGGTCTAATCTTGAGATTACGAGGGCATGCACCAAGGTAGTGAGTGCCCCGACATCGAGATAGGGTTGCAGCTGGGCTATCCACCGAAAATGAAAGAAGGCGGTACGGACTACCAACGCCACCTGAGTTTCCATAGTGAGCGTTGGGTCCAGATGGATCCCCAGACTGCGGACCCCACTCTTGGTGGCAAGAGTCACCCCCCTGAAGGAGAGTTTCCCAAACCACCTATTGTGGGAACCTGCCCTCAAGGAAAGACCCATTTATTATTGCTGTGGCCCATTCTGTTGTTATCGGCCTGGCTGCTTTGATTAGCCAGGCCGGGCAAGGGTCAAGGGAGGAGGTGGTGGCACGACAGCAATCAAGTGCCTTGTCCACAGTGTCTGGGGT